CAATTTAAAGAAATTGATGCCCGGCCTGCGAAGAAGGTGGCAGAGGCCAAAGCACGGAAAAAGCGTGTTGCAATGAGGAAGCTTGAGAAGGTACGGAAGAAGGCGAATGCCATATCAGATCAGACAGAGATATCTGATCGTTCCAAGAGGAAGCAAATTGAACAACTGTATAAGAAGGCTGCTCCGAAGAGGCCTAAAAAGGAATATGTAGTTGCAAAGAAAGGTGTACAAGTAAAGACTGGGAAGGGAAAAGTCCTTGTTGATCGCAGAATGAAGAAGGATGCTAGGAAACGCGGAATGAGTAAGGCAGGTAAAGGAGGTTCCAGGGTGAAGGGCAAGAATCCAAAGGGCAAAGGACCTTCAAAGGCCTCCGCTGCAAAAAATGGAAAACAGAGATCTAAAGGAAAATAGTTGATACATGACCTACCATCTTCAGACTTCATTTAAATTAATGGATTTTTCCTATTTTCTAGGCCCAGATTTTGTTTTTCATTTCCTTGTTATTGTGCATTTGATATTATAAATTAAAGAATAGAGTTTTTTGTCCTCATAAAGGAAAACGGTAGTGTAATGGAAATTTTTGTCTTAATTAATAGCTAGCTAGTAAAGTTCTATGTTTTTAAACTTATTAAGTAGTTTTCTTTTCTGTTGTCATTATTATATACAAAAAGTTTATTATAATAAAATGGATTAAATGTTCCATTCAAATTCTAGATAGCATGATTAAAATAAATTTAATTCTCATGGGTATATTATGTAAAGCATGACAAATGCGTTGATCATTCTTGTGTTTGGATAATTCAGTCCAACTCTATTTCACAAGTTTCTATGAAGAAAATGTTTTCACAACATATTTTGGAACATTCTTGTCAGTACATAATATATTATTAATTAAAAAATTATAGATCACATTTAAAAATATCTTTTTATAGATTTTAATAAGATTAACTATAGGAGGTTGTTCTGTTTCTCACTTTTTTTTTCTTTTTTAATTTGATTATTTTACTCTTTGATTAACTTGAGCCTTTTTCCTTTCTATACAAATTAGGGATAAAAGTAATTAACTATTGTCAAATAATAATAACAAATTAAAAACAATGATTTTAATATTTCGAGGTATTAAAAATGAAAATTATTAGGACTGTTTTATTCATATTATAGCTATTATTATTTGGGTGTATTTTTATTGGGTATTGAAAAGTAAGTGAGAAAAAATATAGAAAAGAATAAAATGAGTTGAAATAAAATTATTAAGATTTTAAAAAATATAAATAAATGAAAAGTGGAATAAATTTATTAATTATTAATAAATTTATTATTTTTTTAATATTATATTTAAATATTATTATTATACGAGTAATAAATAAATATTATTCAAATTATAATAATTACATGTTTTTTTTTAATATCTAGGTAAGGATTCTTTCTGTGCCTTTTTGTTTTTATGAATTTTCTGCGCTTTGATCTAAACAAGATGTAAAAGTAAATTTAACGTATTCACAATCATAATATAAACTTAATTTTTTTTATTGGTAAAATTAATGGTGCACAAGTATTAGTGATAATAAACAATTAGTAAATACTTAGACATTATTAAGTTTATTAAGTTGGTGATCCTAAGAGTATTAAAATATGGATTTAAGTGATGGTTGATTTTTTAGAAAAAACCTAGTCGAAAATAAAAAATTAATCCCAAAAAACATGAAGTCTGATATTAAGGATTACCGTCTACAAAAAATTATTAATCTCCTTAAAATATATCTTTCAGTTATTTTTTTGTCCTTGTTTTATTAATTTTAAAAGATGCAAAAAACTGATATATTTAATATATTTTTTATTAACTAATTAAATTGTTTTAAGAGGTATACAATGAATGATGACCCAAGAATCAACCTAAGAATATCTCAATGTCTTATATTATTTTTGTATACTATATCTTAATTATTTTTTGTCAAATTCACCATAATTTTTAATTAATTTTTGTAAACATATTTTAAAATATCAATTAATTAATTTCAATCATTAAGGAATTAAAATTAAAAAACTAAAAAAGAAATTAATTTTGTTATCAAATTTTTTTTCTTTTTCTTCAACCTCCTCTTTTCTACATGTCCCTCCCTTCTCCATCATCTCCCCCTCCCCTTTTTAGTTAATTTTTTTGTCAACTATCCGAAGATCTTGGAGGATTTTGTGAAAAAAAATCAATTTTCATGATGACAAAGATCTTAGAAATACAAAATTGTAGGAGATCTTTGATGCTTACTTATATCTCAATAGAGATACCAGACAATTTTGTTTGGATCCTATCTTATACATAAGATTGCTCAATATTTTATCAAATTTTGACTTATGAGTAAATTTTATTATAAGTCTTAAGTGATTTCTTTTTACGTTTTACAATAAATTTTAATTTAATATTTTTAAATATATTTTAAAGATATTAATAATTACATTTTATTTATTAAAATAAAAAATATTAATAACTGATAATTTAATTAGTTAAGTTAAATAATAAAAAAACTAAACATTGATAATGGGTATGAAAAAAAATTATATTTTTTTATTATTATTATTTATGAAATGTTCCCTAATATATTATAATATGTTTTAATTTGCTATGGAAGTAGAGTGTGTGGTAGTTTGTAGGTATACAGAGAAGTCAATAGAAACACATGATACTTCAATATTTAAAATCTCTTTATGAATATTATTATAATTACTCTTAATAATAATAATATTATTATTATTAAATAAATTTTATTTAAATTTAAACATAATATATAATGTCAATATAATATTTTTTTTATTAATGTGATAATAGATCATATAATTGAAATTTTAGCATACTAAATATTATATATATATATATATATATATATATTTTAAATAATATTTTTTGTCCATTTAATATTGTGATGATTTTTATAAATGTTATCCCATTAAGAAAAAAATGTATTTTTTAAAATAATATTTCATATTATTAGGGGTTCAATTAATTATGAATAGTGAATTCCAACTTATAAAAGGTCATTAAAAATAGATAATTCATTTATCAATTTAATGTCATTGATTGATAGGCATCTCTAAAATTTAAAAACTGAATCCATTAATATATCAAGTCAAAAGTTAATTAGATATTTATCATATCAAGAAACTGTTCTTTCTGAATATTTTCTAAATAAAATTAAGTAGAAAATTGTCTTTACATATAATTAATAACTAGAAGAATTTTGTGTGTTATTAGAACTAATAATAAATCTATCAAACATAATTAGTTTTTTTTGCAAAACTAAAGAAAAAATTTGAGATTTTTCGGTGAAAATATATCTAATGTGTTATACCATATTAATTGATAATAATGATAAAAAATATTTTAATAATTTAAGATAATTAATTGTAGAGGTGATTAAAAATAAAAATAAAAATATGATTTTAACAATTTTTTTAATATTTTATAATTTTATAAAAAATTAAAATAAGTTTGAGAATTAAATTTACTTTAATTAATTTAATAGAAACAAGATTTAAAAGTAAAACTGAGTATTTGATATTAAGAATTAAAACATGATATAATTTGTGTTGAATTTCTGAATTAGATTTAAATTATTTAGATAACATTTTAATTATATAAATAGTTATTGTATTATCTTATCAATTTTGGTATCTAGATGATTTATATATATTTCACACGTGTCTAAATCTCACTTTTTAAAAAAATTACTTTTTTTTCTCCATTTCCACTTTGCCAACCTAATTTCCAGACTCTTTTCACTTTCATCTCACTATCCTTTCCTTCTCATCTCATGAATGATATTTTCTCTGCATTCAGTTAGTAATTAATGAATATTTTTTTAAATTTTTTTAAATTAAACATCATTTACTGAAAACTAGACGAAAGACATACTTGAAAATCTGTAATTTTTTATTACTTTTTATAAAATAATATTTTTATTTATAAATTAAGACTATATATTTAAAATGAGAAAGATACGAAAGAGATGACATAATTAAGAATGTTGTAAAGAAAAAGAAAGAAGTGACACAAAATGTTTAATTAAGAGTGTTTCATTTTTTTTATTAATTATATAAAAGAAAATAAAAATATATAATTATAAGAGAGAAAAGATAAAAAATTAAGATAAATAAAATATATAGCAAATGAATCCTTTATATATTACTATTTTTATAAAATAATACTTTTATTTATAAGAGAAGAGACAAATTAATATAATTAACGTTGTTTGAAAAATATAAAAATATAGTTTTTTTATTAATTATATTAAAAATAAAGAAAATATAATTATAAAAATAAAATAAAATATTAAACTAAAAAAAAACAGTTTAGGAATCCAGTTATTACAAAGAGTGTGTTGATATGTTTACATCCAATACTTTTTTAACTTACATGAATAATAAAAAAAATTATTATAATAATATATTAAGTTGTTAAAATAATGTTTTTTTATGATGGTTGTTAACATCATTATTTCCAAAATTATATTGGATTCAATATGTTTAATTTTATTTAAAAAATAATAATTTGTAATTAAATGAGAACAAAATTCATAAAATTATAAAAATAATTAATTTTTTATATCAAATCAATTTTAATAAAAAATTAAAATTAAAATTGTATTTAATATAATTATTAGAAAAAACCATGATATATTTTATTTTTTTATCCTATATTAATTTTAAATAATAATTATTTTATTATATTTTTATTTTATTTTAATAATTATTTATTTTATATTTTTTAATATATTTTATATTATAATTTGATTATGATAACAATTTTTATTATTTTTAAATATTATTATTAATAAATTATTATATATTTATTATATTATAAAAATATTATTTTATTAAATTTGATTATGCTTATTCATCCTTCAATCCTTACCCACTTTCGGTTAAAACATCATTTCAATTATAAATATTGGTATACTTGGAGCACAAAGATACTGCAAAAGTAAGAATAGAGAGAGATCCAAGTTAGAATGGAGAAGAGCAAAATATTGGTAATTGGGGCAACGGGAAATTTGGGATACCATTTAGCGGAAGCAAGTCTCCAATTTTGTCATCCAACATTTGTTCTTGTTAGACACTCTGCATTCTCTCACCCTATCAAAGCCCAAAAGCTTCACTCCCTTTCTCAAGCGGGAGCCACCATTCTCGAAGTCTCTCCTTCGTTTTATTTCCTTTAGTTTCTCTTTCAATTTCTTATTCTTATAATTTGAAATTCCAGATTTTGTTATGGTCAGGGTTCGCTAGAAGACGAGGCCTCCGTTGCGGAGGCTGTGACGTTAGTTGATGTGGTCATTTGCGCCGTTCAAGCCAAGCAGATTTTGCATCAAAAGCTCCTTATCCGAGTCATCAAACAAGTTGGCTCTATTAAGGCAATATTTATTCATGCAATTTTGTTTTCCATTTCTTCTATTTTGTGTTGAACTTGTTACTGTCAAAAAAAAGTGTAGGAAGATTTGATAAAAGAATTAGTGAGACTCTAATTAAAACTTTTAAACCTTAAACTCTCATAGTTTTGAAAACTTGTATTTAGGGAGGATAGTTTCTTAAGTTTGTTTTTAAAATACGAGAGGTTTGATTGTTTATGGATGAATGATTTAAATATGATTGAATCATAGTTTAATTTATACTAATATAAAATAATAATAATAATTAAATAATATAAAAAGTTATACTATGGTAACTTTATAACAGGAGCTACATATAAAACATGGTTTTACAGGGTCTTGAGATTTAAATTATATATAGAACTTCAATTTAAATATATTCTAAAATAAGTCAAATTTTCAAGAATATTTATCTATATTTGTGCTATTTCAACAATTTGCGTAAAAACAATGTTTTGTGGATGTTTCTCTCCTTAACATCGTTGGTAACATTTCATCTTTCTCTTAATACTACAAATTATTGTAGAAAAACATTAATATGAGCTGAGAGGTAAAATAGTTTATAAAAGGTAGTGAGTATAATATTTTACCATTTTAACTTCCTCAAATGTAAGTGCACACAGTCTATTGATGGATATAGACACCATAAGTACTTTTCTAGAATAGGTTTCTAGAAAACAAAAAAGTTTGATAAAACTAACTGACAATATAGAGTATATAGAATACTTTAAGTCACGAAGAAACAATTCTTGGGATTATTTAGCTAACCCAATTATAGATAAAGTCTACCAACATGCCTTAGATGACTTGTTAGTAGAACACAAAGAACTACAAAATTGATTCTCTAAAACTCTATCAAACCTAGACCTAGAACAAGATAGATTAGTTGATAATAGGCATAGTATTTCTACTATCCCTAATGTAACAACCATAAGGCTAAGAGGGGAACCATCCCTCAAAAGCTAGCTCAAGAGGTTGGAGAACCTCCCACCTTATAAGGCCTCCCTGGTAAGGAGACCTCCCCAATGTGGGACTTGTTACAATACCACCCCGTTCGGAAGCCAGCGTCCTCGATGGCTGCACTCCACGACACTTCACTCACCGGCACTTCACTCACTAGCACTTTACTCGGCTTTCTTACCGGTCAGAACCCTCCAGTGGTCAGAACCCTCCGGCGGTCAGAACCCTCCGTGGGTAGCCCTTCTCGAGTTGGCTGACTCTCAATGAAAGCACCATTGTAACAACCATAAGGCTAAGAGGGGAACCGTCCCTCAAAAGCTAGTTCAAGAGGTTGGAGAACCTCCCACCTTATAAGGCCTCCCTGGTAAGGAGACCTCCCCAATGTGGGACTTGTTACACCTAACAATGAAAATATTCTTATGATAAAACCCATAGGATGTGAAGAAGATACAGTGGATAGTGTATCTTTTGACGATATTATAAATGGATTTTTAGATGATTTTTATCCAAATGAAGAAGATGATACATTGGATAATTTATCTAAAGCCTTATAACCCTTATCCATATTAGGATTAGCAGATACAAATGATGAATCAAAAGATATACTGGTTAATGTATCTTTAGGTTTAGAACCCTTGTCTAGGATAGACAACACAAAAAGTAATACATTAAATAATGTATTTTAAATCTTTATTCTTTCAATCCAACATGGTCAAAGTTCTTTGTTGTACTTTTATATATTGATGAATCTGTTTTTTAAGTAGATTTATTAACTCTATTAATTTTTTTTTATGCATTCTTAAAAAACAAAATCCACGTATTTTTTAAAATTAAGTATCTAATTTTTCGATTTATAAAAGCCAAATTTATCAATTTTGAAGTATGGGAATCTTGCTGATCAAATACAAAGACTAAAAACACATTATTTGAGTTGTTAAATGTGTAAATAAGCCGTTGTTAATTGATTTTGGTTCTCAGAGGTTCATCCCATCTGAATTTGGATCAGATCCTACCAGGGTTCAAGTATCAGAACTTGTTGATGGCTATAATTTCTATGCAGCCAAAGTTGAAATCCGTCGACTTGTGGAGGCTGAATGCATTCCTCACACTTTCATCTCATGCAATTTCTTCATGAGTATTTGTCTCCCTTCTCTTGCTCAGCCAGGCTTAGATGCTCCTCCAAGGGACAAGGTCACCATATTTGGTGATGGGAATACAAAAGGTATGCTCCATCAGTCAAGACCATTGTTATTCTTTTACTTGGTCCTTAATTGTTTAATGAGTAACCACCTTTCTAATCTTTGAAAATGCATAGTGTTAAATTAGTTTTTAAAATTAAAGAAATTTAAAAAAATTCCTGGAAGTGCAGTGCATCAATTATATTAGTTTAAAATAAAATAATCTTGATTTAAATGATGATTTTAATACGTATATCTGGATTAAAACTAGAAAGTTTAAATCTTCGTAGTTTCAGTGAGTAATGTGATACCGAGTTACACTTTAGATGCCAAATCATGATTTACTAATTGCTTATTCACGAATGGTTTCTTTGCAGCTGTGTTCATGAAGGAAAGTGATGTTGCTGCCTTCACTATCAATACAGTTGACGACCCTCGTACCCTAAATAAAGTGTTGTATTTGAGACCCCCAGGAAACGTCTATTCTTTGAATGAGCTGGTTGAAATGTGGGAGATTAAGATTGGCAAGAAGCTTGAGAAATTGCACGTCTCTGAAGGAGAGTTGCTCCAGAAAATAAAAGGTACTACAGTAAAGTATATAGATTGTAATTATACAGCTTTTTGTCAGTTATGACCATAGGTAAGAGGCATAGAAAAACATGTTTTGAAATTAATAATTATAATGATGATTTTGATTTTAACTATTAAACATAAATATTATTCCATACTCATAAACATGTTGTAAACTAAATACGAAAACGTACCTGAATTAGTCATAATGATAATAATATCCTTATAGAGTACTATTGATCTTATGGTCTTCCACCTGAAAGAACACCTGTATTTTTCTTTGGATTTTCTCTCCTGACGGGGATAGAAAGAAAGGAACGAGACTGAGACTCACGTTCTGTGTGTGCTCCCAGAAGGGGACCATGACCCTTTAAATAACCAGAATTAGGTTAATTACTTAAGTTTTAGTATTTCTAATTTGACCTCTCATCAAATTAGAAATTGCTCTATGGTCTCTACATAATTTTATTTTCATAACATACACCTTTAGCCAAATTTTTTAATTTAGTCAGATCACTTTATTATTTGGCTTAATAAATAATAGTCCTAACACATTTAAATTATGTATCATATATATACATGATCCAAAATTTGCCAACAATCTCCCACTTGTTACAAATATATATGTCATTATAACCTTATAAATGTGTTAGACTTTGAGTTCAAAATTGTCATTATATTTCTTTAGCATATTCCAAAAGTCTTGTTCATTGATCATATTAGGATATAAAACCAAACCAGGTTTTCATTGCATCATCGCAACTAAAATCAACAATGGTTACTAATCCTGACATAACCAAATGACATGGATTCATCATGAAATGAGTAACATGAAAAATTACATGAATGTGATCTCGTACACGTCTATTTTTAACTGGTCCAAACTTTAATTTATCTAGATCAATATAATAACCTTAATGTACAAAGTGTAATGAATGAACGAAAAAAATCACATATCTATAGATAATTAAATATGTCAAAAAAATCAACGTATACATATATAAAATTAAATATAGAACATAAAATATATGAAAATGACTAACTCTTACTAAACCACAAATTCCTCAAACCGTAAAACACTCATGTGAGCAACATGCTCATGAAAGACCTTGAGCGTAAGTCTTTTAGTTATAGGATCTCGCTATCATGAAGGTTGTCCTTAATTGTTCTATAGAAATATGTCCACTCTGTACTTTTTACTTAACAATATAGTTGATTTGTTATCACAATATAACTTAAGTGATCTTTCAATGTCTTTCACAATTTGCAGTCCTGCAACAAAATTTATCAGTCATATTCCATGATTTGATGTCTCACAGCATTACGGATGACAATTAAATTCGTACCCGTGGGAACCGACCCGTCCCCGCCCCGAGTTTGACGGGGAAAACCTGAGTTGACCGGGGGACGGGGCGGGTTTGGGTTTTTCCTGCTTGAAAAAGTCGGAGGCGGGAATGGGTAATGCAATCCCGACTCCGTCCCCGCCCCAAATTTATATTTAAATTTAAATTTTAAAATATTAATATTTTTAAAGTATTTCCTTTTCTTTTTCTAATACATATAAGGTCATTCTTTTATATTTCATCATTTTTATTTTTTTTCTACCCACTTTTTTAATTTTTTGTCTTTTTTAATCTTTTATATCAGCTTAATTTATTACATTATTCTCTCTTATCTTTCAGTTTTTCATATTTCCTTAATCTCTCTTATCAATTTGTTTTTTTTTTCAATCTTTTCAACTAATTTGATGAGCACAAAGTTAATTTTTTTTCTTTATCTTTTTCTATATATTTTACATAAATCTTAGTAGTAACTAATATTATTTTATTTATAATTTATATTTATTAGGTTTTATTATGTCATATTTTTTTATCTTATTATTCTTATTTATCATATATCAAATTTTATCTTAATAAAATAATTATATTTTAAAGGATTAAAAGGAATTAATAATTTAAACTTTTATTACTTTGAACTAATTAAATAAGAATTAACTTATTAAATATTTTCTTATAAACAATATATTTCATATTTTTAAATGACAACTTAAAAATGAATTACCTGATATATGTAATCAAATGTTTAAATACGGATAATAATGTTATAAGTATTCAAATATTTGAATACATAGTTATAATAATAATAATAATATTATAAATATTATATATATATATATATATATATATATAAATAAAAAATGATTAAATTTTTCTTTTACATATATATTTTAATATAAATATAATAAATTAAAATATATATTTAATTAATAATAATTATAAAATTATAAATATTTATTTATATATAAAAAATATATAGTAAAATTAATTTATTATAAATGTAATTATTTTTTTAAAAATAATATAAATCGAGGCGGGAACCCGAAACCTAGCGGGACTGAAATGAAGATTTAATTTCTAACCCCGACGGAGATCGAGGGCGGGACGAGGATGGTTAAAAAGTCGAGGCGGAGATCGGGAGGCAAAACCCGCACCCGCCCCGCCCCGTTGCCATGCCTACATAGCATGTTACAAATTCTACTGCCATAGTGGATGAAATTGTAAGGATTTGCTTGACACTGTGTCAAGAAACCGCACCACTTGGCAACATGAAAATGTAACCTGAAATGGATTTCAGGTTATCTTGACATCCTGTAATGTCCAAGTCAGAAAACTCAGCGATCTCAAACTGGTCTTACCTCCTGTATGTGAACATATAATCTTTTGTTCTCTTTAAATATCTCATGACCTTTTTTGTTGCTTTCCAATGGTCTATTCCTGGATTGCTTAAATATTTACCTAGAACCCCAATTATGTATGTTATGTCTAGACGCGTACATACTTGGAAATACATCAAGCTCCCTATAGCTGATGCATAGAGAATCTTCTGAATTTCCTCAATTTCTAAATTCTCCTCTGAACACTGATTGAGACTAAACTTGTCTTCCTTAAAAATTGGAGTATTCCCGGATTTACATTCATGCATGTTAAACCTTTTAAGAATTTTTTCGATATAGCTCCTTTGTGATAATCTTAAAATACTCCGACATCGATCTCGGTGTATCTGAATTCCTAATACAAAAGACGCATTACCAAGATCTTTCATTTCAAAATTCTTTGATATAAAAATTTTGGTTTCGTGCAATATGCTTATATCATTAGTGACAAGTAGAATGTCATTAACATACAAGATCAGGAAAATATATTTGTTCTCCTTAAACTTGTGATACACACAATCATCAACAATATTCATCTCGGAACCAAATGAGAGAATTACTTGATGAAATTTGTAGTACCATTGATGAGATGTTTGTTTTAGTCCATAAATGAATTTTGTCAGTTTGCAAACCATATTTTTTGGATCTCCCTACACAATTTTCTGGTTATACCATATAAATTGTCTTATCAATATTGTCATTGAGAAATGCCGTTTTGACATCTATTTGATGAAGCTCCAAATCATAATGTGCTACAAAAGTCATGATTGTCCTAAAAGAGTCTTTCGATGAAACTGGAGAGAAAGTCTCTTTAAAGTTAATCCCTTCCTTTTAGATATAACTCTTAGCTACCAGACGAGTCTTATACCTTTCCACATTACCTTTAGAATCCCGTTTGGTCTTAAATATCCACTTGTAACCAATGGTTTTCATGCCTTCTGGTAATGGGACAAGTTCCCAAACCTTGTTGTCTTGCATGAACTTATACTCCTCTTTCATTGCTTCAATCCACTTTTCAGAGTTAGAACCTTGCATAGTTTGACGGAAGTTAACTGAGTCATCTTCCATCATATCATTGTTTTCCTCATGTTCCTGAAGAAATACCATGTAATCATTCGAAATAGCACTTCTTCTTTCTCTAGTGGATCTCTACAAAGTTATTGGCTCATGATGCACAGGTTTTTGAGGATCTTGAGTTTGTTCTTCATGAATAACCAAATCATCTTGAGAAAGGAGTAATGCCTTGTGGAGGTTCTGAACTTACTTTATCAAAGATAACTGTTTGAATCAGTTCTGGAATTGTTACTGATTCTTCCTCCAAGACAAAGTTCCTAATTTTATTCATCCCCAAACTCAATATCCTAAAAGAATGTAGCAGTTCCCGTCTCAAAAATTGTCTTTAATGTGAGATCATAAAATTTATATCCCCTAGATCTTTCAACATAACCAATAAAATAACTACTTACTGTTCGGGAGTCCAATTTCTTTTCATTTGGCTTATAAGGTCTTACCTCAGCTGAACAACCCCACATATGGAAATGTTTCAGACTAGGTTGTCGCCCAGTCCAAAGCTCATAAGGTGTTTTGGTAGCTGCTTTAGTTGATACTTTGATTATAATATAAATTGTCGTCTTTAGTGCCTCTCCCCAGAGTGACTCCGGTAAGGTGGAATGACAAATCATACTCCTGACCATATCTTTAAGAGTTCGATTTTATCTTTCAACTACACCATTCATACTAGGTGATCTCGACATAGTATACTGTGGGACAATTCCACACTCCTCTAGGTACCTGGCAAAAGGTCCTGGACGTTGTTCACCTGACCTGTCAAATCTGCCATAGTACTCACCACCACAGTCAGACCTGACAAACTTAATTCTTTTGTTGAGTTGATTTTCAATTTCAGCTTTAAATGTTTTGAACACGTCTAGAAATTGTGACTTTTCATGTATAAGGAACAAGTATGCATATCGTGAGTAATCGTCTATTTTACGTTTAGTACCCCGTGATTCTGTATTAAGGGTTTTATTATAGGTGGTCACAGTAAGTAAATACAAATTATCATAAGCCAAAAGTGAACCAGTTCCAACAATATTTGAATTAAAAGACAAACTGAACTTATTGTTTCCAAATGAACACAAATAACCTAATTTGTCCAAATAAGAAACTGAAACCAAATTCCGTCTAAATGACGGCACAACAAAAGTGTCCTTCAAATCCAAATAAAAATCAGTACTCAATAACAATTTAAAATGTCCTATAGCTTTCACCTCTATCGATTTGTCATCTCCAACATATATCCATATTTTAAAATCAATTGGTTTCCGGTAGCTTAGATAACCCTTCATAAAAATACTGATGTTAGTAGTTGCACCTAAGTTTAACTACCAAGTGTTACTAGGTACTGACGCTAAATTAACTTCAGAACAAACCAAAGTAGGAAACATACTTTTAAGGATCGGAATAGAATTTAAATTGGTAGATACAGAAGCAATTATAGCTGGATTAGAATAAAAGAAATAAACTAATTATGCTCACATTATAAAAATAATTAATTATAAATATTCAAATAATGGTTTAACTCATCTCAAGACATCCAATGCACTATCAATATCAAGTCTTTGGATAGTAATATTAACTGCTAGGGGTATCTTGTTGTAATGATCAAACATTGACAATAAAGCACGTCCAACAACAAACCAGTCTTTGGATTGATTTATCATCGACAAAGCAAATCCTTATAATTATCACATGTTTATCATTACAAGTGTGTATGCAATTCGGTCAAATATTAATCTTCTTTTGGATCGACTAATGCTCGCATGAATATACACAAATATTAATATTCAATATTTTTCATGAACTGCCCAATTAATGAGAGGTTACTTTAGTGACTTTTTGACTCAATTTGCTCACAACAAATATTAAACTACCAAAAATTGAATATTTTATTTATATAACAAAACCAAATATTTAATATTTATTTATTTAGAGTTAACAACGCAAACTAAATCAAAAAATAATCACTTCATTCAAAACTCACTAAGGATGAACACCTTCCTAGAATTCCACAAGGGATGAACACCTCCTTTAAATAAATCAAAGGATGAAAACACCTCCTTAGAATCCCACTAGGGATAAATAACTCATATGAACAAATCAAAGGAATGAACAAAAACCACCTAAATCCAAAAAAAAAATTAACGGCAACCACCTAAACCTTAGAAAGAGGATTTAACGACAACCACCTAAACCCACAAAGAAAACCATAAATTAAAAGAATTCCAACAAGAACAGTCACACCTGTTAATGAAGATAATAAATTGTAGAGGCCTGTAAAATGATAATCTCGAAGAACACAATGTGGAAACATTCACCCGTTGTCTAAGATCCTCTGTGTTGAGAACTCCCCCAACATCACCCCCAATTTCAAACCCATCCATATCCACCATGAAAAGAAAACGAAAATAAAACCTAGAAAAATAACTAAAAACAAAAACAAAAGATTCAAAGAGAACAGAGAACTCAATACAAGAAAAATTGAAATTTGAAATACTATTTCTTTCTCTAAAACTTGAAACTTAAACCGAAACAAAAAGGAAAAACAAAGAAGAAGAAGAATTCATAGCTTCCTCCACGGTTCCATCAACGAACAAAAGTAGATTGGGGATGTTACTCCCAAATTTAAATTTTAGGGTTCATGAAAATTGGAGATTATTCTCTACTTAGGGTTCATAAAAATTGGATAATTTGAATTGTTTAAAACAAAAATAATCCTAATTTTCATAATTAGGGTTCTATAAATTAAATAGACATGAATCAAATATGGGTAGCTCTGATACCAATTGTTGAAAAATTAATAATTATAATCCTAATTTTGATTCTAACTATGAAACATAAACATTATCTCATATTCATAAACATACTGTAAACAGAATGCGAAAATGTTCCTGAATTAGCCATAATGATAATATCTTTGTAGAGCACTATTGATCTTATGGTATTCCACCTGAAGAACACATATATTTCCTTATGAATTTTTTTCTCTTGATGGGGATAGAAAGAAAGGAACGAGACTAAGACTTACGTTCTGTGTGTGCTCCCAGAAGGAGACCATGACCCTTTAAATAACCAGAATTAGATTAATTACTTAAGTTTTAGTATTTTCAATTTGACCCCTCATCAAATTAGAAATTATTTTATGGTCTCTACACAATTTTATTTTCATGACATATACATTTAGTCAAAATTTTTAATTTAATCAGATCACTTTATTATTTGACTTAATAAATAATAATCCTAACACATTTAAATTATGTAATATATATATATAACCCAAAATTTGCCAACAAAACCATCTCATACAATAAATGAGTCACATAAATAGATATTTCTATAAATTATTATTTAGTCTTGGATTCACGTGTCGAGGAATCCAACCAAATTTCATCTGACATGAATATATTTAAGATATTTAATTTTCAAAGAAATGTTAACAATATTTAATTATATGTGATGTGCAGATGAGTCAAGACCATGTAGTTCTGGAATATAATTATTTTCTTTATATGAAAGTCTTTTCTTCAATGTATTTAGACAAAATCTTATTCTAAAAGGAAAAATGTGAGAGGAAAAATTCTAACAAACGCTTGCATTTCTGTTTTGGCATTGCAGGGACTTCTTTCCCTGCCAACCGTGAAATGTTCTTCATATATTCTGCTTTCATAAAGGGAGATCACACATACTTCGATATTGAGCCACCCTCTGGTGTGAATGGCACACAACTATATCCACATCTGAAATATACCACAGTCAGTGAATTCTTAGACACACTAGTTTAGGCTTTTTATTTGAGAATGTTGAGAAGTGAGCAGTGGACATATTTTTACTTGGAAAATTCCCTTCGGCATGTAATGTTTATTTTATGCCATTCTAAGCACAAGTTGAAAATGTATATTTGTGTTGCTGAACAAACTAATTATGCAATGCCTTGTTCTGTTTCTTGCCTGCTCTCGGTTTCGTTAATAATCTGAAATTGCTTAGAAGTCTCTAAATGGTTGGCATAAAATTATCTAGAAACTTACATTTGGAGCAGGATAGATATTTTTATATTGGAGTTGTTTTCAGCTCTTGGTTTTTAAAATATAAAAACTTTTTCACCATTTTGTCCATGCAAATAAAATAAGTAAAATCCATAAAATTGTGCTTCAAACGATTAATTATTTATGAAGAAAAAAAAAAAGGTAATTTCTTGCCACATGAAAAAGGGGCCATAATAAACACTAACAAACATTTATTTCAGTTACAAGACTTTAATAGGTATGTGACAGAACTAGAATAGCTTTAGCATCTCCATACACTGACTGAATGATTCTTTATTTGGATGACTAAATTTTACAATAAAAAAATTATCCTAACTCTGTATTGTATATCTTAAGCAAAATCAACACGTACACATAATTCACACATACACTAGAATTTTCACCCTGCGTTCCAATACTAGTTATTACTGATACAGAATTATTATTTTTTACAACATACAATATTTGGTTGACAACTTAATAATCGATCTCCCTAATATGTCAACCGATTAATAGTCCATCAATCAAATAATACACGTTATTCATCAAAATTCTATATATCATTAACGAGTATAAGCTGGTTCAAGTAAAATGGCGTGCAAGCATCATTGTGATGGAAGAACTCGTCTAAAGTGGTGTATTTAACATCAGGGTAGAGCACTGAAGCTTCAACTCCAAATGAAGGCTTAATTTCATAGTTAGTGTGATCTCCCTTCAAATATGCAGAGTGGCAAATAGACAGACCCATGTTGATGGGGAATGAAGATTCTACAAGAACAAGAAATTGCAAGTATCAGCACAAAAACATATTTAGAAGCCCTTTACGCAATAATTTCAAGTTAACCAAAGAACTTGATTTATGAAGTGAAAGAAGCAAATTCACCATTCATTTCTTTAAACTAATAGGACAATAACTTCTAGATCTTGAACATGCACAATAACTAATTATGACTCACTAACCTTTAATATACTTCAAAACTTTCTCTTCCGAGACATAGACTCTTTTAAGAATCTCACTATGATGCTTCTCCCAGAGAGATACCAGGTCATTGTATGACAAGGTGTTGGCTGGGGGTCTGACATAGAGAATTTTGTTCAAGGTTCTTGGATCATCAACACTTCTAATGGTGTAAGTGGCAATGTCCTCTTCAGTGTTAAGAACAACTGTAGATCAAGCAAAAGTTAATCATTTTCATAAAGTGATTCAGTTTAGTTCATTATTTTAGAAACATATTCACAACTGTTTATGTATGTACCTTTGGTGTTTCCATCCCCAAGAATAACAACCGTATCAATTGGTGCTGTTATGGCATGAAGATCTGACCAAGTGGGTAGGAAGTGTCCAGTGAAAAAGTTAGCCACCACATAGGTATGAGGAATTCCTTCAGCCTCAATGGTTCGACGAATATGAACTTTACTGTCAAATATATCGTGTCCTTCCTCTACTGCATGAGTCCGATCCACATCATTTCCAAACTCTGAAGGAAAGAACCTCTGCAAAACAAAACAAATAACCATGACAACAACTCCAACATATATCGTTGTTGTAGTACTCCACCAACCACAATACTTTCTTCCAATAATATGGTGTTTAACATTCAAACAAACTATTTTAAGCTGCCAAATCAATCTAAAAATATCAAAAATACCAAAATATCAAGCTTACTTAGCAAGAAAATGCACATTTTGGTGGAAACAGATTGTGTAAAAAAAAAACAATAAATTTCGATGTACCTTAACATTTCCGGCTTCCTTAATAGCAGAAATGACCTTATATTGATCATCTAACTGCATGTGACTCACAATAGATATTACCACATCCACCTTTTTTATCGCCATAACCAAACTCTTGTGATCACGTATATCTCCCTGTGTATAGAATGAACAACACGAAACCAAAAAAAATTGATATCTTTAGTACATTTTCACGTGTATATAAAACCTTTGATATTATCTTAACGTTTAGATTTAGATTCAATCCAACTTTACAAACCCACTTGTAAAACAAGAGTTCTCTTCCGTTCATATATTTTAATTTGAGCATATATATTAGACAATGCATGATGTTGAACAAAATTACGAAGAGAAAAAAAAGTTAAGGTTTTGCATGTAGAATATATTTACATACCAAAACCAAGTTGACACCCAAGGTCTTGAATTTTTGAATGATGGAAGATTTTGCAGGATCAGAAAGAGTGGATTCTCGAACCAGGGCAAAGGTGGGGTGGCCAGCCTTAGCACTAGCTTCCACCATGAACTTTCCCACAAACCCAGTTGCTCCAATTATGAGAATCTTACTACTGCCCACGTTTTCCATTAGAAGAAAATAATGTTTGTGCGAGAGAAAGATTATGCAGAGAGTAGATCAGAAAAGAAGGAATATATATTGCAACTTAATTTTGTATGAAGATTGTGAGAATGGAGTCCTTTATATATATATACACACATATACATGTCTTAGCTTGTTTACTTGTCTTGTTGTCTCTCTTGTTTCTGCATTTAAATATAAACTAAAATTTGTTTTGACTGTGATTTTGGGTCCACCCTATAAGATTTTAGAATTATTGAAATATTTGTCCTAACAAATTCTTAGGCTTTATTATGATAAAATAATTTTGACATATTATATTCAAAAATTGCAATGAAGTATATACACATACACAAATGATTGTATTCTATGCAGTCTCTTTGCGATAACGAAATTAGACATAAAATTTAAATATAGTTGAATTTAATTTATTTTACTATAAAAAAAATTAAATCAAACTAAATTAAATACATTATTAAGTATATTATAATTTTTATTATAAACTTATTAAATATATTATAATTAAATAAAAATATATATTATAAAATCATTTTATATAATTAATTATAATTTTTATAATTTTTATTCATTTCCACATATTTCAAATTTAACTTAAATAATAATATATATTTTAAATTATAAAAATTAATTATTTTATTCTTAATATATATTATTTTATATTTTAATTTTAATAATATATATTATAATTTTAATTTGATTTGATTTAGGTTGGTTGTTAATCGTCAAATCGATTCAAATAGATTAATTTTAAAAAAATAATCCGAAAAATTAATAAAATTGATTTTAGTGATTTTTAATTTTTTTTATCAATTTTCTGCTTTATTTTTGTTTTGATTTGATTTTGAACACCTTAAGTTTATCAGTAATTTGGATTACTTCTTAAATTAGTGTAAAACTTTTAAATTTTATGATTTCAACGTAATAATTATTTAAATTTAGACATTTAATAGTTAAAATATTCATATTATAAGTTTTTACAGGAAAGACATAATTGATACTATATTTATTTATTTATTTTAAAATAATTAATATTATTTTAATATTGATTTTCATATAGTTGCAGATTTTTTTATTATATCTTTATGACAACAAATTAAATAGAATGGTTAAAGAACACCAAAGTTGTATTTTGTTCTGGAAGATAACACCTCCTCGGTCTCGTTAAAAAGTACAGAAATTTCACTTTCTCATTGTTCAGTTTTGACTATTGGTGATGACATGGTCAAAGTCTTGTTTATATTTGGAATCAATATCTAGAAACTAATATAAGAAATAGAATGGTAAAACAGATTAGTTTTGTTTTAATACGAAATAATATAATTTTTTATATTAATTTTTTAAAATATATAACTTTAATTATATAAATAATTTTTAAATTTTATTTATTAATTAATATTTTTATTAAATAAATTAAAAATTTATTATAGTTATCCATTAAAATCAAATTATAATTAGTTAATATTTGTAATTTAAATTATAATATATTTATATATTTTAATAATATAATAAAAATATATAATTTTTTATTTTAATATACAAATATTTTTTAATTAAAATTATCAACTCATAATTATCTATTAAACCTAATTCAAATCAGTATATGTCATTGTTTTTAAGCATTTATATTTTTATATTTTATATATATATATATATATATATATATATATTTTTTTTTTTTTTTTTCTTGAGTAGATGTTGTATAACATTTGACATTCTAAAAAACAATTGATGTTAAAAATCGTAGAATATGAACATAAGAAAAAGCGCGGAACATAGGTTTGAATTGTGGAATGGATGGGTCTAGAATGTTCCTGGTACCAAACAGAATAGTAATCACCTTCGATAATCTATGACATGTTTTGTTCAACGAGTAATTATGCATCACCATGTTAACTCAGAAACCTTTCAAATGGATGAAGCATTTATGCCTCAAAATTAAGAGTTTGACATAAACTATTGGAAGGAGTTGATAATCAAAGCATGGGAAAAATAAACAAATCAGGATTAGAACAATGATCACTTTGATTAAGGCCTAATTTTCTTTAGAAGTATTAGTTATCCCTTTAATCTTTCCATTCATAAGTTTCTTTAGCTACTAAATATTTTTCTTTGAAAAAAAAAATTGATTTTTTTTCATCCTAAAACCTTCAAATTATATATTATTATTTCTATTTAAATAGTAATGGGTTTGTGAGATATTATATCATTTTAAAAGTTTAGAAAGAGAAACTTTTATATTTTTGTTTTATTTTTTATATAAAAATCTTGAATAAAATGAAAAAAATTAACAATTTATTGTGGGAACATGATTCAAATATAGTAATATAGAGGCTAAAGGTGAATAGTAAAGATAGAAAACAAAAACATTCTGTGTTCTAGGGATTGAAATTGATACTCTTTGTTGAGAATAAAATAAAATTAAAAACCTTTATATTAGAGAGACCAAAGTATACTTCAAGATGAAGATTTATATCTAAAATATTTAAAATAAAAATATAATTTTCTATAAATAAAATATAATTTAGTTTTCATTTACTATAAATATAAATATTTTGATAGCATAATGTAATTTTAAATAATTTTAAATGTAAATTATGAAGTTATTATTATTATTATTTTAATCTTTACTCTTTTATTTTATATGATAACTTTTTAAAAATAAAAATAAAAACATGTGCTACTTACTATCTTTTATGACAAAAATTATGCTTTCTAAAGTTAGAAAACATTAATACATTAAGTTTACATAATTAAAAAAAAATCACTAAATTATTTTAATATAAAAGTTTGACAAACATTGTCTATGCTTATCATAAAATATAAGAATTAAAATCAGATTCTCGTAATTATTTTACAAATAAACAAATTTAAAAAACAAAAATCTACTACATAATTAAAGTATGAAATATATGGGTGTCAAAAGAGATCCTTATCTCATATGTGAAAAATAAGATAAAATGGGATTACAAATTTTAGATAATCTCATTAAAAAATTTAGGGTGACGGATTAATGGCTTAATTTGCTAATATTTTGTATGTAAAATTATATATATATATATATATATATATATATTAAAAATGTATATTTATTATATAAATATTTTTAAATTTTATTAATTAATTAATATTTTTATTAAAGAAATTAAAAATTTTATTATATTTATGTATTAAAATATTAAATTATAGTTTATAGTTTATAATTGAAATTTAATTATTAATAATTATGATTTAAATTATAATATTATAATATATTTTAATAATGTAAAAAAAATATTTTAAATTATAATTTTTAAAATTTAATTTTAATATATGAATTTTTTTAAAAATGAATAAAATCATTTTTGTCCCGTTTTTCATCCATATAATAAATTAAATTAAATTATTAATCAATCTTAGTAATAATTTAAAACAGACTGACAAATCTGACTCTTAACACTAACCCATTTTATTGCATTTTGCATGACGTGGAGAGGTCAGAGAGAGGAATTAATTAATATTGAATGGCAACTTTGGTCACAGTTGCCAGAATAGGATTTATAGAAGACACTTTTTATTTTTGACACAATTTTTTCATAAACTAAATTCATTGAATTATCCTTTATTTAAATACTATTAATAATAAACGTAATTCATCCATCAATTTTAATGAGAATTTATATCTTTTATTTCGTCATGTATATACTTATAAAACAATTCACAAACATCCTGTGATAATGAAATACATAAGTTACTAAGTTTCCAAGATTTTATTTTTCATTTGTATTATTTTAACCCTAACCTAATGGATTATTCACTTAATTGTTCTGCATATAAATATACTATTATACTTTTATAATACCTCAATCATAAACAAAAAATTTACTATCTTAAGGCAGGTATATACAAGCTTTTAATTTTATACATTATAATTTCAGGCATAATATATTTTTTACAGACTAAATATTATTTTAATATTATAAAAATGGATTCTATAGTGACAGATCGACACCTAGTATTCTAGAACATTAGAATGGACGTTTGATGAAGATAATAGCTTACATACCAAATACTGTTATCTCAGACCGTCTGGGTCAAATTTTCAGATTCGACTTTCAATTTTTTAGATTAAAATATCGTAATATATAGTTTGGGAATATTAGTCAAAAAGAAAAACAAATTAAACTCTTCGACTCTCGCCGCCGACGAGGGTGATATAATATTATTATGGTGATGGATTTCATATTAAGGCATTGTCGGTAATAGAATTTTAATTTATTTCGATTTTAATTTTGATAAATTACAAAATAGAATATATATAAATTATTATTAAACTTGAATTTAAATGATGTGACACTCGTATGGAAAAAATATTATTATAAAATTAATAAAAGAAATTGTTGATGAATTGTTTCTGTTTTTAGAGGTTATCAATATAGTATTTCTCGAAATGAAATATCATCTTTTATCTAGCAAACACCTCACGTCACATGACCTCAGTCATGTTATCATAAAAATATTTTGTTTTTCTTCTTTTCTTTATTCCAACCCAGTGAAACTTTAGTTTTTTTTTCTCCACTTTTTATATTTTTTTCTTCACCATCATATTTATTCATTTGAAAAGATAATAATATTTTTATTTGTTTTAAAATAATAATAATTTAAAACCATATTTTGAAGTATTTTATATTAATAATTTTTTTTTCAGATGAACAAATTAAAAAATCATGTAATTTTTTTAGTTATGAATTACGAAATTTAAAATATGATTTTGTCATTTTGAAAATATTACTTTTTTTTATAAATAAAATAGAAATTAGTGTTATATATATATATATATATATATATATGATTTAACTTTCGAATTATAAAATTGAAAAGCTTATCATTATAAAATACAATCAATCCAAAATATTTTTAAAAAGTTTATTTTAAAAATTTTCCAAAATGATGAAAGAAGAGCATATTCTTTTTATTATAAATATGGGGGTGTAAAATTAACATGAGTGGTGCAACAAGTAACAAACGAGTTAACCTATAAAACAGAGCCCAGGCTTGACCCAAGTTTTAAGATGAACAGTTTCTTCCTTGGTCCAATAGTTTTAAGCTGGATCCAAGTCCAACCCAAAGCAAATAACTTCGGCCTGAATGGGTCGAACTTATTGGATTATTGAATAGTTTACGAAATATCGCATTAATTATTAGATTTTAGATTATTAAATATGTAGTTCAAAAATAAATTGTAAACAAAATCATCTTCTTTGTTGGCAAAGTGAAATAATTAGTTGCTACTTTGATGAAAATTAAAATTAAAGATGATGGAAAAAAAGAGAGTGAAAAGTACTATATGTTTACACTTCACCTCAATTAATCTTTAAACGTTTGCTAATAGTAGACAAAAATATTTAATATAAAATAGTAGAAGTCGAAAGATTAATTTGATAAAAGTAAAAATTTACAATCTCTATTGGTAAAATATATGGATTCTATGATAATAGGAAAAAAATTGATATTGATATATTATTCGTATATATTTTTATAATATTTCAAGATTAAATCCCAGTCTGCATATTCTAATTAAAGTTGTAATGGTATGCATTATCTTAAAAAGAATTAAAACATTACATTTACTCCTACCAATTCAACTGCCATTTGACTTTAGGGTTGAAATGTCGTTCAACCAACCGTGGATAAATGACACCCCCAACATTATTTGCACAAATTTGACACCTAAAGGATTGGGTGAGTATATTTTTAAAAGATTTATTATTATTATTATTATTATTATTATTATTATTATTATTATTATTATTATTATTATTATTATTATTATTATTAATGTTTGGTTTAGTTTAGTTTATCAGATATGGTATTATAGAGGGGATAAAAAAGCATTGGCAAGTTTCCATCAACCCAAATGTATAATGGATTAGGTGTTTGGTCACACATGTGACATCGCGATCAACCTAATTTTCATATTTTTAATGTTATACAGTACATTAAACGTGCAAATGCAGGTGACTGAAGTTAACAGGTATTAATATCATCTTATTTATTTTACGGAGTAGTATACAACAAATATATATGTTATGTACTTGAAAAAACAAAAATCTCCATAAATGCATTCGGAGTGAACTAATCCAACAAATCAAAAGTGGATGTTCTTGTTTACATCTCCATCTTTAGATTGCTACTTTCAACTAGACCTGCAGAGACATAAAACCACATTTACAATAATTTACATTCACTAAACGATTGAGTATCTATTTGGATATCTACTAATCATATCTAAAACTTGGAAATCTAAAAGCAACTATTTGGTATTGATTCTAGAAAAATTGAACCTAATCCAAATACACACCTTGTTAAGGACCTTTGCCACCACTTTCTAGGAGTGAAAGTTGTGGGAAAGTGATGTAAGAAGCAAATAAAAGAGACAACTGGCTTGATGGGTGAATGATTAAAAGACCCCTTTTGAAAAATTTCTTCACTTTGAGAAAAAATGATTTATCAATGTCTGTGGGGCTGTTGTGTCTCTATCACCCATAAAAATCCACCCTACTTTGCTTCTACTTTCTACTTTTAGGATATCAGGCTTATGGAAAAAGTGATTGGACAAGTCATAAATTTGTAGCTAACCTGTAAATGGCTGAGAAGGAAAGGATGCTGTTCGCCCTTGATCAAAAGCAACATTGTAAAGGCTTTGGAAATCACCTTCCCAATTTGAGGAGGGTAGAATTTGCTGCAGTGCACGTAATTATTAAACGTCACAGGAGTAATCATTAGAACAAGAAGAACATTACAATTACATACACAAAAGGGAAACCTACAGCGAAGCAGGACGAGTCAAGAGACATTTCGGGCAAGGGTACAGGTGTAGTACTAATGTTCCTTCGAAGTCCCATATTCGGAGGGCTCATCCCCGCGTTATTTATTAATCCACCACAACACGATACAAGTTGCTGTGTTGAATTGAACTGAAGATACGAGGGAGTGTTACACATACTCATATCTGATGGCATCCCAATGTTTGGTAATCCTTGAGCACATGAAGGAAACACCTGTCGGAATCAAACATACAGAGTTATTTCGTAAACAGGACCTCATGCAAGTTCTTAATTCTAATATTCTAAACTAATCCAAGGTTTTGATATACAATCTAGTATTAATTGCTTTATTTGTGTTTATAATGTGATTATTTGTAATTTTCTGTTTATCAAAAGATGTTGAAAACCTTCAATCCAACTAATCGGAAAGGAGAAAAAAGTTGTCATGTGCATTGTCCATACCTCTTTGGCAAACAGTTCTTCAATGTTGAAGTCAAGCCTTGGATTTACAGCAGCTAATTTCATCGACAAGAACTGTAAGCAGTGAAAAACATTATAAAATTCAGCACATTCAAATATGTATAGTGTAGCCTAATTAATTTCACATGGAACAATGCCAAAGGTTGGACCAACAAACTCTAACCTCAACTTGTCGTTGAAGAGACTGAACATAGTTAATGATTTCATCAAGCATTCCAGCTTTGCCTGCAATTTTGTTGCAACCCGGAACCAAATCTTGCAAATACTTCATTCTCTCGCTAATCTTCTCCCTCCTAACCTGCACCAAACAAGACAAAAACGATCGCATTAAACACAGTCAGAAACAAAACGCGCCGTTTAAGATGCTATTTTTTTTTGTCACTCACTCTTTCAGCTAAGCTATGACTATCAGTGGCTTGACCACGACGCGCTCGGACATGAATGTACTCAGACTTCTGGTTCTGAACCTCGGAGATTTTCGAATTATCCTTGGAAGAATCCGCAGAGGTTTCTCTGTTGTTCTTATTTGCGTTGGATTTGCCATTTTTGTTGCTGGTTTGGTTTGTCACTCTGGATTCTCCTTCCTCCCCACTCATCTTGACTCTCTTGTCCTTGTTATCACTCTCCGCAGCAACCTAAACAAAATCAGAAAAGCCAAACGTCACCGTTACTTTACCATAGTCCACACCACACTGAATCATAGCCCCCTCTCAGCATTAGCAAATACCTTGGAATTCTGCGCCTTCCTCTTCTTAATGTTTTCCTTGGGTAAAAAACCAGAAGAGGATCCGAATCCAGCGTCCAATTCGGTGCAGAAACCCGGGTCGGGATTCACAGAATGAGCCAACACTTCACCAAGCGCGGAACCATCACGCGCCATGACCGAGCCCTGACTCTGAGGATGATTATTGGAAGAAGAAGAAGAGAAAACAAGGTTAACGTGAAACTCCGTTGCGGAAATGTAAGGTTGGTGATTCTCGTGATGGTGTTGTTGTTGTTGCCACTTCGTTTGTCTTTCCAACACTGTCATGTCCGAACAACTCGCTCCTAGATTCCCCGAACCGTTGAGACAATGCAACATGTTGAGGTTGTTATGGTTATTCGTTATTCTTAAGGATTAGGCACCGCTTTGTTGTTGAATAAGTGATGGATCCGAAAGTACGCGCCACGCGGTGTGTTGTGTGGAAAACAAAAAGAAAAACGACGTAGGGTCACGGGGAAGTTGAGTACAGTGGGAGAAACAGAGGAATAGTGTTAACGATGTGCAGAGAGATAGGGTGGGTATATATAAATGGAGGGAAATTTATTTACTAATTTATTTATTTCTTTGTTTGATTTAAATTATACTAATAATTAATAAAAGAAAATAGAAATATGGCCGGAATAATTAAGAAAGAGGGTGGGACAGAGGAACTATTGATAACATAACCGAGGCTGTGGGCTTGGGCCCACTGACATGACCGCCACGTGGGCGTGTCCAATGCTTCGAAACGGTAGTGTTTTCCTCTGCTTTTCTTTTTTGTTATTTTGCACCATAAAATAAAGGTGTGAAAAATAGGATGTGTGATTAATTAGGTTAATGAAATTCAAAAATTAGTTAGAACTTAATTTAATCCGGTTTTATTTAAGCCTGTGTTAACTTGTAGTGAGTTTAGGTGATTATACTCTGAAAAATACAACGAGGGTTTTTTGAAAATTAAATCAGATAATGTTTTTAAAGTAAATATTAAATTATGGATTTCTATATTGTAAAATAAAATAATTTTATTATAAATTAAATATTTAATAATATTAGACACCATTCTAAATGGAAAGTAAACTAAATAATAATAATAAAAAAAGAGTAAGATTATAACAATTGGTTAAAAATTAACTGTTGAAATTATAACAATAGTATTTTTTTAACATATTTTAACTTTGAAAGTATGGTTATTCTTAATTTTAGCCTTTCGAAAAAATTGGATATTGTTCTTATATATATTTTTTTAAAGTAAAGAAAGACTCTTTTTTTTTTCTTTTTCTGGTCCCGAGTGAGAAGAATGGCATGGAGTTTTGTACAACCTAGTTCTCAACGATTAGGATCATGCCACGTGGTACTTTGAGAAGGCTGAATAATATGAAAGACTAGAAGCATTATACGAAGCTGCGCATACAAAAGGCCACATAGCATCTTGACAACTGGTAGCAATACATTTTATTATCAGCTTAAGATTATCTTCTAAAATGGATCAAGGGTCTTGTCCTAGGCCCTTCTAAATGTAGCAGCAATCCCTTTCTTCTTTGAACTAATCAACTTTCTAATTAATTCAATTCTACAATAATAGTACTTTCATAAGGATTGTTTCGTTCTAATCTCTGTTATTCCTTAAACAGATGGTACATGTGTTGTTTCTAGTATTGTCAAAGAATGTATTGATTTGTTCACAGTCCACCATTCAATTAATCTCTCTGGCTTTTCATATATTTCATTTACATCCCACCTCCAGCATAAGTAAAATAAAAAATTGTTCATTTCTAGCTTCTTCTTCTTTTTTTTTCAAACAAAAGTGTGTTATCAATTAATTGAATGAGAAAAATAAGGATGATTATATAGAAACAGAACATAAATGACGTTTTTGTTTTTTATCCAGTAGGTAAGAATGCACCTCAATAAAAAATTCCAAGGGATGAGAAAGTTCTAGCATATACTAATGTTGAATTATGGATACAGGTCTATTCGAATCAGTTACCTATGTTTGATTAAGCAACCATATAGTGTACAAATATTTGAGGTTCCACTTTAAAGAAAGAGATTGATGGGTTAACAACAATAGCCTGTCTGCATAATTGACCTCATACTTAGTTGCTAAACAGACCAGATTTTTTGGTTTTAGTGACTTATGAGGGATGTAATGGGACAAATTAAGCAATGAAGGAAATAGGAAATCACATGTTTTGGTAAAATCTAGAGTATTATTAGGACAAGGTTTAGCAAGAGTGTCATTTCCAGGCAGCCACTTGACATTAACACTGTTGTCTAAATCATGCTTTGCTTGCAAATTTATACTGAGATTTGAAGCTTGAAGCAATGGTGGAAGGTAAAGGTGACCAAATATAATTTGAGATTGGTAGGAACAAGTCCAGAGAGGATGAAGGCAACTTCCATTATCACCAAATGGGCCCTCTCTTGAAATCTCTCTAACTTTATTTTTGGTTCAAGTCTCTTTCAAGTCTATCTAGGTCCCCTCTTCCTATGTACCAGTTGCATACACTTCAAAATGACCCAATACCTCAGCTAAAGGCAAATGGGTCCTCCTTTCTCAATCTCATTTCCTCTATCATATCACTTTCTTTGTGGTATCCATCAACAGAAAACTATGTCCCCCCCTCCTCTTTGTTTTTATAGTCACTCTATTACTTTTTGGTTCCTCAAGTGCTTTCCATCCTATATTCTCTTTGACTAACTCTCCCTGTACAGTGCATTTATCATCAAGGCAGTTGTACCTTACACCCTGTATAAACAATGTCCTCTATCTTGTTATCTTCATAGCCAATTAGCCAAATGCCATCCATCATTAATCTCTAGAAATTTGCTTCTTCATCGTCATCATCATCTTTATGTACTTTATCATAGCCAAATATTATGACATGGCTACACCTTAAAATGTTTTGGTTCACCACACTTCATTAGCATTTTGTGTCACCAACTATTCTGCAAATGATAAAAATCTGCAACAAAATAATAAAGGTGCACTGCAGTTGCTTTTCTACTCTCCTTTTTTTTCCTAGGAATCTTTTATTACCCTTTCATGCATGGCTAATTTAAAATTCATAAAATGTCCCTCTGGCACCTGCTAATATTGGAAAAATAATTGGAAAAGCTTCTTATCTTATCCAACAGATATGTGTTCATACTAATAATTGGGGAAGGGAGATGGCATATGAGGAAGCAATGAAGATAGCAGCAGATCCAATGTACAGGCAATACTAGTTCTTGTTCCAGGCCCCTCCTCCTTATTAAATATAAATTTCTTTTTTAATATCTTCCTATTAATGTTGAAAACCAGCCATAACTCAGCAGTAAAGTTGTGTTGTAATAATTTTTTTTTTTTTTTTTTACAATATCTTATAGTTTACTATTCTTAATGACATATTTTAGTCGTGGAAAATGAAGACTGCATGATGATTTTACAGTATTTTTTTTATATTAAGTTGTTAATCTTATTTAGTATATGAAAAACAATTCTTTTATGTTTGAATGAAATTAATATTTTTTATTTATTTTTTAGAAAGTATTAATAAAAAGATGTTATATGATTACTCTTGAATATAAATATAGACTGAAAAGGAAGAGTGAAGTAGGGTTTTGAGAATATTGTATTGATCCATTTGTCCACTTGCAAGCCTAAAAAGATCATCATGCAGATGGATGCTATGGGCTTCCTTCTCTTATTTAATGCACAAACGTGCTCAACTCCTTCCCCAAATAAACCCTCTCTACTCATTCAAATTTGACTTGTCTTACTTTTTATCATAATATCTAATAATTTCAGAATCATAATTATTTTTTTATTTTATTTTATTTAAGTCATGGGTGTAAGATTGTGTATAGTACTTCAACTTTATCAGTTGTGGAGTTACATATGGAACGGTTGGAATAAGGGTGTACAAATAAGTTTAAATAATTCATATTTTTGTATTTGAAGAGTATATATTACAATAAGTTTAATAATTATTTATTTTAAATATAATAATTAAAATTAATTATTATTTTATATTAATAAATTATTAAAAAAATAATGATGATAATTTAGAAAAAAAAATTAACTTTTATTTTAAAATTTGATTGATTGATTTGTTTATAATTTATATATTAAATTATTAAATAAAAATTAAATTTATTAATATAATTTAAATTTTAAAATATTTTTTTTATTTTTTTAAATATTTTTTTATTTTTAAAATGTTAAATAAGACTAAAATTTATAATCTATTTTAATAAATTATCAATTATCAATTTTTTATAAATCATAATTTTTTTTACATAATCCACATAAGACCAAGTTAGAATGGACTAAAGTTTTTATTTTAACAGCTCTAATTATAATAAAAGAAAACATTTCTTTAAATTATCATGAGCGTCGTTTTAATTAGTTTAGTTAATTTTCTCTTTGCCATGATATAAAATAATAGTAAATTAAAAATTATTTGAAAAAAAAATGCTGATAAAGTGAAGTAGAAAAATAGTGTAGTATCTTTAAAGATTTTCTAATTGTTATCACATTCTTTAATTTAGTTTATTTGTTCCCAAACATGATAAAAAATAATGTTAAAAAGAGTTAAATAAATTAAAACTTTTCAAAGTAATAAAATCCTCAAAATATATGTAAATCCTACTACTTACAAAATTAAGAGTAAAAATTTATAAAGTATTCCAAGAAACAATTATGCATAAAATAAAGTAAAAATATATAGATAATCAATATTATCTAGTTATTTTCACACTGCAAAAAAAATGTTAAGTATAAATTAATTTAGAGGTACAAATATTTAGTTATTGTGTTAACTAAGTTTGAAACTATTTTAACAAATTGATTTTCAATTAGATTCGAAATTGGTGTCATCTAATATATTCTCTAACATTAGTTACCAATATTTTAGTACTTGTTGAAAATTAGATTATAAACTAATTTCTAAGTAATTTTATAAGACTAGTAATTTATTTTTTTACAGTAATTTTCTTGATTTAATATAAAATAATATTACAAAATTCCATATATAAAAGGAAGTATAGAAGAACTACTTTAAAAGATTTTGTAGTTGTTGTCACTTTTCTTATTTTAGTTTACTTGCTCCAACATAATACAAAAGAATGGTAAAAAAGTTAAACAAGTTGAAAATTCTTTATGATAACAAAATCATCAAGTAAAAAAAATACAAATTCAACGAGTTACAAATTGTGAGTAAATAATTTAAAGTAATAAATTTACATAAGACAAAAAGATAACGTATTTTCAAATATTTCATAGATATTATCACATTTTGCTCCTCAACATGATACAAAAGAATGCTCACGTTAAATAAACTAAAAATTTTCTAAGT